GTACACACTTCTCCACTAAGATATTATGTAGAATAGATATGGCATCTTCAATAATTCTTCTTCAATGCGAAACCGATATTATCTAATTCTAATACATAGGAAAGTATTTCATAATAAGTTATGATCGTACAAAAAGTTTAAAATATTTTATTAAAATTTAAAATCACGATTTTCTCACGCACCACCTATCAATCTCGGATGGAACATAGTTTGGGAAACGCTGGCTTATAACGATTAATAAGTTAGTACTGTATGACAATTAAACACGTTGAATGTCATGCCTTAGTTACCTTTGTACTCAATTGCACATTTATAGGTTGTTTTAATTACCCGATCAATTATATTCAACTGATATTCTGTTTATGTTTTTCTTTAAGATTGAGACAATTAATACAAAGTGTATAGAACTAAATATAAGTATTTTATAGAATAGATTAAATTTATTTAGAGGATGGCTTACGGCTACTCTGTTTATTCACTTTATCCTAAAGTTAAGGTGCTATAATACCAGAAGTAAACTGTAAAAGTAATTTTTCTACTGAGGCCTAATGAGTAATACCAGCTAGAGAAATATGATTTTTTACTAAGGCCCAATGAGTAATACTAGCTAGAGAAATATGATTTGTTTATTAAGGCCCAATGAGTAATACTAGCTTAATAATCCTTAATGTCTTTATCACCCCTATGTTTTTTGTTTTTTTTTACAGTACACCTGCCTCTTATAACTGTTTCTGTATCTCTTGATTCGATATGGTTATTCACGTCTATTCTTCTTCTCGTTGGTAACTCGGTAAGTGCTAGTTTTTTTTTATTTAATTTACTTCTTTTTCAAAATTAAAAGTTATCAATTTTGTAGATCTTAGGAGTTAGCCTAGACTGTTACATACAGCTGTGTTGATCAAGGGCTGATGATCATTTGCTAGAAGCATACAGTCTACACCACAAAGCATAAGCTTCTTTCTTCTTAGTGGGAATTTAGGTCATTTTAGACCTAATGTTGATCTTTAGGTCAGGTACAATGTTGACCTTTACCTCCTTCCTTGGCGGTCGGCTTTCGCATTTTGATGGGAAAATACTAATGTTATTACAACACGAAGATTGTGTCCAGTTTTATCGAGCACGTGCTCTGATCCCTATGAAAACCATGTTCATGTATGTAATTAAAGTAGTATTTTATGTGTTGAAATCACCATTTCTTCATTTGGTGGGTGATGCCATAGTCCTGCACATTGCAAACAGTTGCAATAATATTCACTCACACTTTTCGTTAGATTAAATCACCATGAGAGCGTTGTACGTAAATATTCTTTCAATGCCTTGGTATTTCTTTAAACTAATAACATGATTAAGGTATAGCTGTAGGTAGCCTTAGATGGTGTTTATATCTATAGTAAATATTAATCGGGGAGAGGTACATAGGACTATATTTTTGTTCTTATTTTTCTCGAAATAATTTAACGAACTATGTAGGAGTCTAATAATGGCTGGAGACGGCTTAAATGG